TGTGTATTATATTCCTTAAACAACAGTATCATACGTACTTTACAAAAATAATATACAATATAATAACGAATGTATATTATTTAACAAAAATCTATGATGGCCCTCTTCAAAATGATCGGCTGGATTCACTCCTCTGACTTCTGCTCATGACTAATGAAATTTAAAAATTATCAATGTTGATTTTAGAAAGAAAAGGTTTATAATAAATTTAGGTAACGCGAGTCTCAATTTCTATTCATTACTTTTATTGTAATGGTTTCTTGACCTTAATAAACAGACTCAGTATTTTATATAACAATTTATTTATGTTTTATACAATCATGATGTTTTACTCTATTTGGGGTCTTTTTCAAAAAATCTAGTGTTCAAGGTAGTTGACACCACATCATAAACAACCCATTAACATTTTGAGAAAAAAGTTAGCATTTTTGTATGAAAATGTCATTTGGTTGTTTACAATGTGGTGTCAACAAACCTGGACTAGATTTTCTGAAAAAGACCCCAAATAGGGTCAAAACGTCATCATTGTATAAAAAATAAATATTTTTAATAAAAATACTGAGTCTATTAAGGCCAAGAAACCATTACTACAAAATAAATAAGATAACAGACCTTAACCCACTTATCTTGTTGCCGTTCAATAATGAACTTCTGAAGTATCCATTGCTTCATTGTTGCCCATAGCAGCGAACAGTGGTAACATAAACTTAATGTTAAATAAACGTTCGTACAAAAAAATCGTATTTTTAAGAGAGAATACCTAATTATGAATTATGGTTTGCAGATTGCTTAAAAGAAAATACATCAATACATTGAGAATCCAAATATAATATGTATTATCAAATTGATTTTCAATCATTTCTAAAAGGTTAATTTGTAAACGTACAGATACAGGTTCAGGCAAATGTAAAGGTTAATTTGTAAATCTCGAATGTAAGAAACGACAAAGAAATATGAAATAATATGCAAATTCTAACTTTTGTAACATACAACTACCTCAAGCACTTCTCAAATTACGTTCACGAAGCTCGGGAAAGTCGAAGGGACTAACAGTAGACGTTGCTACTCGACTACAGGAAGGTGAACCAGTACCAGCAGTTGACAGACGACAGTCTTCCACACGATCAACCACCGAAACCTTCTATACAAAATCAGTCCATACATTCCTCATTTCCTTCACGCACTTCTAAAAAGCAACCTTTCCGACCGGACATTGTATACTCATCATCTTCATTGTTCATCTACTTGCCGCCTCATGCAAGCCGGCGTCCCTCAAGGCGCCTTGCTGTCACCCTCGCTATTCTCCCTCTACATCAACGACCTCCCGACAACTTCACGTAAAAATGACTACATATATGCAGACGACACAGCCTTGACCATAACCAGACGGAGTCTACCTTATTCAGTGACTGAACTACAGACTTCACTCAACAAAATAGCAAAGTGGGCAGACGAAAACAACCTAAAACTTAACACTGACAAATGCCTCACAACACTTTTCCATCGACTTAACAGATATCTTGCATTTCCCCAATTGACAATCAACTGAACCAAGACCACCAAATACATGGGCATTACTCTTGACAGCAAACTATGACAAGACACATCGACGAGACAGTTCAAAAAGCAAACAAACGACTAAACGCAGTAATACCAGTCATCTGCCACGCCAAGTCAAAGACAAAAATCCAAATTTACAAAACTTTTATTAAACCAATAGTAAAATACAACTGTGAAACCTGGGCGATGACTACAAAAATGAACTACAACAAACTGACAAAAACCGAAAACCGATTCATTAGACTCGCCTTCCGACCACCACCTATGACCAATTACACACGACTAAAACACAAACTCAACCTGACACCTATCGACAAAGACATCTACGAGACGGCGAGCAAAAGTATACAGAAAACTCTGCAAAGCCCACACTTCAGACAATTCTTACCGTCCTACGCTGACGTCATACGTACCCCCCCCCCGAAACACATCCTACGTTTCCGATATCCACCCGACATCCTACAACTACCACCCCCATAACAATAGTGACCAAACTACCTTCCTAATTTGAAACCAAACTAGCAAAATTTCAATATCCACGTTATCAGTCCTCCCATCCATTACCTAATCCCATCCCTCCCTTTCCTTTCCTCTGCAAACAACAGCTAGTCTGGGGTACGCAGAGGAATCCTGCCTGACCCAGCCCACCACCCACGTCATCACCCACGCTACACCCACTACCCAACTTCCCCCCTCACTCACCCTAAGCAGGGAAGATCGCACAGCGCACGCCCTCGAAGAAATAACATCAGAACACGCGAAATTCGAAGCAGGCGACTATGTTTGACACACAAAATACTTCTAATTCTAAAAATTGTACATAATATTATTTTAAAATGTATCTTTCACGACAGATTTCATAAATGGAAAAAACCACTAACTCTAATAATGTAGTTTTATCAAGACGCCGAAA